TGAGTTTGCTGGAGGAATTTCTGCAGCTCATCGTTCTCACAAAGAGAAGTAACAATTATAGACACTTATCCAGAATAACCTCTTGCACATGTCTTCTGCTAAGCAATTTGCTCTTTTTCCACTCCCCCGCCCCCCCAAAATTTAAAGTTCTTTAAATTAAGTGTAAGCCTTTTCAGGACTGAGTCATTATTTTAGAAATCAGGATGTGTGTGTGTGTGTGTAATTTGAAGATAAAAATACATAAACATTTTAGCATGTTCTATCTTTTTAAAAAAGGATTTTGTCTTCATTGACTTAAGAGAATCCTTTTTATTTCATTAAATTTTATTTTTAAATAATGGTTTACATTCAATATTATTTTGTACTAGTTTCAGGTATGTACAGCATACTGGTTAGACAGTCATATAATTTACAAAGGATTCCTCCTGATATTTCTACTGCCTACCTGGCACCATACATAGTTATTACAATATTGTTGACTATATTCCCTAGGCTATACTTTACATCCCTGTGACTATTTTTTAACTACCAATTTGTACTTCTTTTTTTTTATTGATTTTTTTTTTGAGAGGAAGGGAGAGGGAGAGAGAGAGAGAAACATTGATGAGAGAGAACATCATTTGGCCACCTCCTGCAGGCCCCCCTGGGGATTGGGCCCACAACCTGGGCATGTGCCCTGACCAGGAATCGAACCAGTGACTTCTTGGTGCATGGATCAACACTCAACCACTGAGCCACACCAGCAAGACCCTCTGCCCATTTTATAATTGGATTGTTTATTTTTGTGGTGTTGAGTTGTATGAGTTCTTTTTGAATTTTGGATATTAACCTCTTATTGGATGTTTCATTGGCAAACATCTCCTTCCTTTCAGTAGGTTGTCCTCATTTTTTTGGTTTTCTTTGCTGTGCAAAAATTTTTTAGTTTGATGTAACCCCATTTGTTTATTTTTAAATTTTGTTTCCTTTGCCTGAGGAGGTATATCAGAAAAAATACTGCTATGAAAGATGTCAGAGATTTTATTGCCTGTTTTCTTCTAGGCATTTTATGGTCTTACATTTAGGTCTTTAATCTATTTATAGTTTATTCCTGTATATGTTATAACAAGGTGCTCTAGTTTAATTTTTTTTGCATGTATCTGTCCAGTTTTCCCAACACCATTTATGAATTGACTATCCACTACATTGTATGTTTTTACCTCCTTTGCCATGTGTAATTGACCATATAGGTATGGGTTTATTTTGGGGCTCTCTGTTCTGTTCCATTGGTCTGTATATATGTTTTTATGCCAGTGCCATGTTTTGATTACTTTGCTTTGTAGTATAGTTTGATATCAGATTGTGTGATACCTCCAACTCTGTTCTTTTTCTCAAAATTGCTGTGGCTATTTAAGGTCTTTGGAATTCCATATACATTTTTAGATTATTTGTTCTAGTTCTATGAAAAATGCCATTGGTATTTTGATAGGAATTGCATTGACTCTGTAGATTGCTTTGGGTAGTATGCACATTTTAATGATGTTAATTCTTCCTACTCATTAGAATGGAATATGCTTTCATTTATTTGTATCTTTAGTATTTCGTCAGTGTCTCATAATTTTAAAAATACAGCTCTTTTACCTCCTTGGTTAAATTTATTCCTAGGTGTTTTATTTTTTGATGCAGTTGTAAATGAGATTGTTTTCTTGGTTTCCCTTTCTGATAGTTCATTATTGGTATATAAAAATGCAGCCAATTTCTGACATATTCTCTATCTTGATACCTGTAAGAGGGAGACAATATTCAGTCATTCTTATTTTCCTAATAAGACCATTGTCTATTTTCATTACTGACCCAGATGGGACCATCTGTGTAAGAAAGTCATGGAATCATTAGTTTAGCACCACTTTCTTTCTACCTTTAAAAAGGTTTTAAAAGTGCAACTATAACTGTTATTGAATCTTTCATTTAGCAAATGTTCAGTGTCTGTTTCATTTACTACCCTCTCTCAATTGCCTGGCACACAGTAGGTATTAATAAATACTTGTTGGATGAAATGAGTAATCTGAAGGTAAATTCGAGATCATTTCCGTGGAAATCCTGAGGAGAGTTTCGGTGCAGTGTGAAGTGTGTTCCACCAGTTGGGGACACAGGTGAGCGGGTGTCACTCATGCCATTTCAGCTTTGACTCAGTGTTGAAGCCCAGGCTCTTCTTGAGACTCTGGGTTCCAGAAGGTCAGAGTGGCCTCGTGATGAGGGTTTTACTGCATCTGATAGAAGAAGTAGAGGGGCTCCTTGTTTCAAGGGAGGGGCACTGGCCCTTTCATCAAGCCTGTGGCAGGCTGGGTGCTCACCAGCATCTCTGGGGCTTCCAACAGCTCAGCCCAGGACAGGCAGGGCAGGCCACAGGGACTGGACGGTGAGATCACTTTTGACCCTGACGACCAACCCACAGGGAGGTGGTTTGTGAGGGGAGTTAGCACCTGCTACCCAGGGTGTCACCAGCATGTGAGGATGCCAGAGAGGGCCCGACATGGCCCAACTCTTGTGTAAAGATTTGTAGGCAGTCTACACTTGCTGAGGGGTCCCCAGTTTTATTCCCTGGGTGTAAACTTACTCTCAGTGGTCTTGTTTGCACCAAGAACTCACCTGAGTAAGAGCTGGGTCCATGGACCCCTTTCCAACCATAGTGGTATCAGGTTATTGTAAAGTTTGAAGCATTACTGTATCAATGACTTTTTTAGGATAACAACAGTTTGACAGATGACAACTGGACATTCTAGGTATCTAGGGTCATCAGTACAGACCAACAGTTTAAGCAGGGACAGAGATGATGCACGCTTCAGTTCACGGATCAGTGAGGGCAGCAAGCAAGTCAGCAATGCAGTGTATGTCAGCGTCTCGTCATTCTAGCTGTCGAGGGGATCAGGTAGTGTTTCTACCGAGCAAGCCACTTTTATTTTTATTTTTTTGTATATATTTTTTTATCCTTTCCCAAGAACATTTTTGCATTTATCTTCAGACAAAGCGGCAGGGAGAGAGGGAGGAAGAGAGAGGGAGGAAGAGAGAGAAAGAGAAACATCGAGTGGCTGCCACCTACACAACCCCAACCAGGGCCGGGGACAAACTGCAACCGAGGTACGTGCCCTTCGCAGGAACCAAACTCAGGTCTCTCTGGTCCATGGGCCGATGCTCAAACCACTGAGCCAAACTGGCCAGGGTGAGCAAGCCATTTTTAGTTTATTCAGAAGGCATCCAGAAAGTTTAGGAGGATCTGCTTAGAAGAAAAATTAATTCAGACTAAATTTTTCAGAATCGGTGCCTTCCCTGAAAACAGCCGTTGAGAATAATAAAAAATAAAAGCAGGACACCATTCCCAATACAGTCAGCAATTCTTAATGAAATAGAGTAAGGATGGCAAGAAATACCAGTTTGCAAATAATTCATACCATAGAGGAAAACTTAATAAGCAGTTACAGAGTTTTAAAAATTGTGGTAGTTATTAGCCGAATGGATTCAACAAGTAACTCATAGTGACCTTCACTCAGCTGCACAGTAGACATTTTCCGGGTTTTGGTCACGGGTGAGGAGGAGCCCGAGGCGTGCTGATGGAAGAGTCAGCGTGGTAGACACGGGGTGAGTGCTGTAAGTCTTGAGCTGCTTTCTTCCCTGGGGAATTTTATAGTTGCGACAGTATGGGCAGACATTGAATTTTGGGTGAATAAAACGTAAGTCAAACAGTCATGGATGGACACAAAGTACATTCCTAACAAGCCCACTGGAGAAAGTCACCTGGGTCTGGCCTGTGTGGCTCAGCGGTTGAGCGTCGACCCAGGCACCAAGAGGTCACCGGTTCGATTCCTGGTCAGGACACATGCCCAGGATGTGGGCCTGATCCCCAGTGGGGAGCGTGCAGGAGGCGGCCAGTTGGTGTTCTCTCTCATCAGTGTTTCTATCTCTCTCTCTCCCCCTCTCACTTCCTCTCTCTCTAAAATCAATAAAGAAAAAGAAATTAAGAAAGAAAAAAAAAGCAAGCCACCTGGGGGCCCATGGAAGCAGGAGTTTTTACAGTTTACATGTGACAGAGGCCAAGCCTGGCCTGCAGGTCCATGTAGCCGTTTGTAGAAGAAAAAACTGACAAACTGGACTTCATAAAAACAAAAAACTTTTGCTTTGTGAAAGAACCTGTAAAAGCATGAAAAAAGACAAGCTGCGCACGGGGAGCATTTGCAACTCACATATCCAAGAAAGGACTGCTCAACAGTCACCAAAACCCAGTTAGGCAATAGGCAAAGGACATGTGCAGACCTTTCACCATGAGAATGCCAAGGGAGAAGGAGCATGTGAAAATAGGTTCAACTTTGTTAGACGTCAGAGAAAAGCAAATCAAAACCATTTTGAGATCGCACTACTTACCCATCGGACTGGCTAAAGTGAAAAATAGCAGTAACACCAAGTGCTGGTGGGGATGCAGAGAAACTGTCCGTCCTTGGGAACTTCGCCAGGAACATCTCTTCCTGTGTAGCCCTGGGGTTCTCAGGCCCAGGCGGTCGATTGGTCATGGACTCTCTCTAAGCTGACCTCGCTGACCTTCGCTCACTGGAGCTCTGTCCCAGCAGACGCTTGAGTCCTTTGACTCACTGGTGCTAGAATGGGCACAGCCAAACAAAGGGCTGTAGCTGCTGAGGGCCCTCAATTCCCCGACTTAATGACTGAAAACGCTCAATGTCAAACTCTCAGTGAATGAGAGTGCGCTTCCCACGCAGGAAGCTAGTATGTTTGTACTTCATATATTTGTGGGAAATCAGGGCTTTCTTGGCGTTGGGGCCTTGCAGGTCAGCACCTCCCTGAGGCGGATGTGTGTCTGTAGCCACGGCGAGCTCTGCTCACAGAGACATGCTTTTCTCATGTTTAGATCTTTGCACTGGAGGGAACTGTCCTGTTTCCTCTGCTGCCCACTTCCTCTGATGTCATAGCGGCTGAGCCTTTGGTAAACTCAGCCAGCTTCTCGTTTCTCCCTCTGGTTCCGCCGCGGCCCTGCTAGGAGAGAAGTGGCTCCGTGGGACCCGCTTCATACCTGTCACTAGTGCTTCGCCCCGACACCCCACTCTCTCTGCACTGTGGAGACCACCCTGTCTGCTTGCTGCTCCATGAGATCGTCCAGACCCCAGGAGTGACATGGATATATTCTGTATGCAGCTTGTCCTTCCTCTTCTACAAAATGGCCTTGATCTTCCCGCAGTGTGATATGTAGACGTTCCTGTTGTGGGATGGCGGGGAAGACACAGTGCTGGTACCAACAGTTCCGGGCCTGTGGGCAGGTGTCTTAGTCTTGCTGGGATTGTCATGTGCTGTGAGAATGAGGAGGGGGATGGTGATGGATCTCTAAAGTGTAAGTGACGTATTTATGTGTAAGGTGCCCAGTAAGATCCCGGCTCACTGTGGATCACCAGTGCTCCTTCCCTGTCTTACATTCGTGCTTGTGTCCCCCCCATAAAAGTCCAAAGTCTGCTGGTCTCTCCCTGTCCATCTTTCCAGAGAAGCTTGTAGGGAGGAGGGCGAGAGGCTCACAGGATGTGAGGTTCAGTTGAGAAAGTGCTGCGCCTGCGGAGGCCTGGTCCCAGCTCTGCTTCTGGATTTCTAGCTGAAAGAAGGAGAGATGCTGTTCATCGCCCCCTCTACCTTCCCATCGAGGGTCGGATGCGCATCGAGTAAAACCCACGTGCTGGCACAGGGGGTCTGCTCCTTGGACAGGCTCCATCGCAGAAGTAGCTTTGTTTCGTATTTATGTAGACTTCTCAGGAACCATCCTCCTAAGATGGTTTTTAGCACATGATTATAGCCATTTTGCCTGAAACTGACCTATTTAAATGTTCTAGACTGGTGAGCTAGGCTGACCGCTGGTGGGGGTCTCTGTGTGGCCGTGGGGGAGCCCAGGCAGCAGGAGAGCTTACAGACCCCTCTGTGCGTACGCAGCACACGCACCGGCGTCTCAGGCCCCAGGACGCCTGTGCTGGGAGTGGCTTCCCCTAAACATCAGCAGCCGGTTTTCAAGTCAGCTGTGGGCAGACGGAGGTTGGCTCTTTCTGTCCTGTGGTTTAGAATAGAATGGACTCCAGAAAAACTATTTTCTTTTAATGCCTTATACAGTTGGAGTTCTTGATATACCAAGGTGAAAAGCTACAGGGGACATTAAAAAAAAAAAAATATATATATATATATATATGAGATAAAGCCTTAAGTGATCGTATCCAGGAACTTACTGGCTAGAATTACAATTTTAACATGATGGCGCATTTAAAATATATTTTTTTCTTTCTAGTGATGCCAGGAACTAAATGTTTTAAGGGACTTTTTGGTCCTTCATGCACACATAAAAATCCCAGTCATGTGACCATATCGTTCTTGAGAATGTTTCCCCTTCAAACTAGGTATTCGAGTAAGCCTTGGTGATTTTACAATGCTAGTGCGAGGTTTTATGTTTATCCTGATTACCTTACTTAAAATATTTTTATGGAACATATATTTCTAAATTTTACATCTTAAAATAAAATAAAATGTGGCATGAACTCGTGAGGGATGACTACAGACAGAGCGAGGGGGAAGCTTAGGCTCTGTGAGGCGACGTGAACCTGGGCCAGGCGGGCCGGCTCCGGGAAGACTTGCGGCCCTGCTGGTGAGGTAGCTGTCCATCCCAAAAGCGCTGATCAGTCTTGACAGGCTCCAGGCAGGAGGTCACGCCCTCCTCTTAGTGAGAGATCAGAGGGCTGCGTGGAGAGAGGACGGTGGTTGGGACTGGAGAGCGAGGGCTGGCGCAGCTGTTTGGATCCTGCAGGGACAGCTGTTGGCATCTGGCATCAGTGACAGGATGAAAGAGAAGCAGACGGATGGCTTTCCTCAGGATTTGTGACACTTCTGTAACCCGTCTTTGGTCTCCCTTCTCTGAAGGGGCATGGCCATTGTCCCCTCCGGCTTCTAACTGCACATCACTGACTACACACAAGTGAGGTGCTTCTATGGGCCTTGCCGCCCACCCTGGGGCCAGAGCCACACCTGTGTGCCCCTCAGTGTGGATTGCACACTTGGACATGTAGGTGATGCTGGAAAGTGCTTATGGGGTTGTTACACCTGTTTCATGCTTCCTGAGACGTTTCACTTTGCGTACGTGATTTTTTTCAATTATAGTAGAAGATTATAGGTGTGTTATTAATATCTTGCCATTCAGAAATGTGAGACTCCCAAGAACTCAGCTGCCTTTGTGGGGTCGCCAGGCTTGTGCTCCAGGGAGGAGAGGTCCCTGGTCTGCCTGCTCCCACTCCCCTGGACAGGTGGGTACGTGCCCATCTGGACAGAACCATGTCTCTCTGCACAAGAGAAGCTCCTGCAGAGCTGTTGATGTGCCTCCAGCAGAGGGCGAGAGGGAGCACGCCTCCAAGGGCGTCCCTAAGCCTTATAAAGCCATGCGCTTAGGAGAGAAATGCCATGAAGGTTCCTGACGGCCATAGAATTCCAAACATGGAAATGGTTGCTTTGTTATATGAAACATTTGTTCCAGCATCAAATAATAAAATAAACTCCTGACACCAGAATGGAAACCATCACCGTTAAGCCCGTCTGTTTACCCTGAACTGATCCTGGCCTGGCCGGGCTCATACGTTCCTGGTGGGGCGCCCCTCACTGCCTGGAGGCGCAGGGCCCTGGGGGCTCCTGCCCTGGCCAGACGTGTGGCTCTGCACCAGCCCCGCCGGGCTGAATCGGCCAGAGTGAGGCCGGGACGGGCAACGGGGAGCTGCAGCGTCAACTTCTCCCTGTACTCATTGGCCGGCTTCCCTTCCCTTTGCTCTGACGCAGACTGTACTCTGAACTCTGGACTACGACATAAGTAAGAAAAAGAATCCTGTTTGGGGAGGGAAATAAGAATGATCTTTTCTGTCTCAGAGTATGATTTAACCATCTGTCTACTGATGGTTTCGCTTTACTGCATTTTCATTTAAAATGTATGCCTCGTCGGTTACTCTCCTTTGTAACAGAACACATGGCAACTCTCTCTGCAGCTGGAATGTCACGTCTTGGGGAACGTCTTTGAGGGCAACATAAGTTGCCCTTTCCAAAAAGTGGAAAGTGCTTCAGAAGATCACTTTACAATGGAAAAACATCCTCGGGTGAGGATTAACCAAACAACAAAAAAATCATTTAATTTTCTCCTCACAAAGATTACCAACAATTTTTCCATTTACTTGTCTGTTCTAAGTTCTTATTTCTAAAATGAAAAGGGAGTTAAATAAATGGGTGTCTTGAGGATTCAAGCATGGAAAATATGCTCTCTGGAATTTTATACGGAAAATAATCGAGTGTGGATCCTGTGCTCCATGCCTCCTAACGTTGGCAGCTACTTTTCAAGAAGCAACATTCTGTCGACGTGGCAGGGGGCATGAGCTGGACACCTTGTTGATGGTGACCTCTCAGCTCCAGGGTGAGAGAATACTAATTAACCTGCGTAAGTCGCGGGCTGTTCCTCGTAGGACGGTCGGTGTCAGGTGCTGTGGAGCAGTGGGCCCGCTCCGGCAGCCTCTCTGCCCTGCGTTTCCAAAGTTTTACCCTGAAGTCCATGCGTGTTACAGGTCCGAGGTGAGGAGAGGCAGGTGCAGCCGGTTGACCTTTCAGCCTGAACTGACACAGAGTGAAGGAGGAACCATGGTGGTACCAAGGCACTGGTCGTAGGTCAACCTGGGACAGAAACCAGGAGGCATCCTGGGCGGATGGAATTGTGTGTGAAGCCATCCGGCATCTGTCTGTCTGTCTGTGTTTATTTATCTGTCCATTTTCTGTTATCTATCCACATCTATCTCATCTACTTGTCTATGTCAATACGTTGACACAGTTGCCTGTCTGCATGTCGCCTATCAATCATCTGTTATTTACCTATTAACTAACCATAGCTGTTATCCATCTTTATTGTATTAGCACAGAAACCTCATTGGTTCCTTCAGAACAATGAGCAGAGCATAAGCGCCCTCACTAGAAAATTTACTTCTAGAATTTGCAGTGAACTTGTCAGAGAAGCTGTTGGATCTCTGAGTACCAGATGCTAAAGTGATTCCAGAGTTAAAAAAAAAAAAAAAATACCTGGACCTTTTCCCTGTAAAAGACAATGTGTACCAAGGGCATGTTTTGCCCCGATGCTCAGGCACCTGAGTGAACCTGGCTCCTTGTCACAGATGCTGGATCCTTGGGGGTAGCACAAATCAGCTGTGGTATTATACACTTTAATAATGGAATTGCTATCCATTTCCCTCTTCCCTTTTCCTGGTGGTCACTAAGCAGTGAAAAGGTCATCTTGTGTCTGCTGTGATTGTGAACGCAGCTCTGTCCAGTCATTCTGAAGTCACTCTGTGACGCTTGTGTCTGCTGCTGGCTTGTGTGACTAAACCCATCAACACACAGTTCCAGTTTGTGAAACAGCAGGGTTCCGGGCTCGGTCTGGAGGACACTGACCTGTGAAGGCGTCACAACCTGGTTTTGAGGATGAGCCATGCGTTTGTTACCAAAAAAAAATCAACCATGGACCTGCACAGTCCGCAGTTGATTAGGTTAATGAGAGCCAGGTAGACTGGGGGGTTCCCTGCTCTGGTAACCACCAAGGCCTCATGGGGGGAGCCCCGTGACTTGTGCAGAATTCCGTGCAGCAGGAACCCGGATGCTGGGGTGTTGCTGAGCTGAGCCGCATGTGAGAGGGTGACAGCAGGCAGGGGTGCAAGGTTGTCCCTGAGAGCAGGATGTCCTGGGCGGCTGAGCTGGGCAGGGCATCCAGAGAGTGCTGGTCACATCGGAATTGGCCGGAGTGCAGAGTCCATGTTGGTTTCAATGGGGAGAGCCTTGGACGCGAACCAGCTTTGTTTTCCTTTCCGGTCCGGGGCTCTGAGAGAGAAACATCAGTACCGTTTGTGCCTGCATTACTTACCTGTTAAATCGGTGCTGTGAGGATTGAAAGAGATTATTTAGGACTTGTGGGACAGGGCCACACTGACATCTTCCCCTTGAAGAGGGGTCCCGGTTTCTTGGGGAAAGTGCTTATTTTTCTATGCGCCTACTGTTTTAACAATCGGAGTTTTCCACAATAAGACAGAGTTCAAAGTGAGTTTCCCGTGAAGTTGGCTTACCCTGAAAATTAAGGGTAGGAACCCCCCTCATACTTGCCTATTTATCTGCGAGATTTTAAAACTCGAGCTGAGTTTTGGCTATAGAACGAACTGAAATGGGGCTGGTTTGCCAGGGCTCAGACTTGATGGTGGAATCGTGCACAGATGCTGGGAGATGACAAGTCCTAAATGGCCAGTCGCTGGGGAGGGGCAGGCACCCTGTTAAACTGCAGGTGTCTACCTCGTGCGCAGGGAGCCTCTCGGGAGGCCAGTCTGTGCCGGTTGGTGGCGACCCCACAGATACACTCCTGAGCACTGTTCCTTTTCCCAGTCCCTGCTTTTGTTTCGTCCAGGTGCCCCTCACTTGCAGGAAGCGGACTGATTTTGAATTTGTAAAATGCCAAGCATGAGCCAGAATGGATGGAGTGGGAGTACAATTAGCATGGAAACTAACTGCCTGATAGTTGTGTTATTTCCAAAGACTGGTCAGGGGAGAGCCCGAGGCGAAGGACTGTGGCTGCTGGGGAGATGGAGGCAGCTGCCTTCCCAGGGTCCCGGGGGCGGAGAGGACGGACCTGTGACTGGGAGGTCCTTCCTGCTTCGCTGTCAAGAGCAGAAAGTACCTCCCTGTGCAGGTTATTTTATCCTGTTTTCTCAAAGCCAGATGTTTTTCTCTTTCTTGTAATGCTACACGACGAGCAGTTGGCTAGAGCAGCGATTTTCAACCTTTTCATCTTGTGGCACACATGAACTGATAACTAAAATTCTGCAGCACACCAACACATATGTTTTTTACTGATCTGACAAAAAAATAGGTATAATTTTGATTCATTCACATTGGATGGCTATTGTTGTGTTGGCTGTTGTCATTTTTTTATTTGACAGCCTAAGAGAGGTCAGTGTCTCTGACTAAATAGTCAGGTAATGCACGTTTTAAAAAGTCTTGCCACACGCCATTTGAAAATTAAATTGGTGGCTAGAGAGAAGTCAGAAGGGGGCGGGGTAAGATGTGAGAGCCCTTCTCAGCCAGCGGCTCCCTGTGCTCATTGTCCCTCGTCCTGATCGACCAGAAAACTGTCGTAGAGTGCACATACATGTGGGTATTTAGGGTGCTGGTATTTTGGACATTTTTAAAAAACAGATTCGATGGGGTCTTTTTAAAAGGACGAAACAGCGCCAGCTCCAAGTGGTGAATGGACGCAGGTGCAGAGCATGACAGGCCTGTGATGGTCTGATCAGCCCACTGATGGCAGCTGCCCACGTAGGTGTGGCATCAGACATGCTCATCAGCCAAGAGCAGAATGCGTTTTCCATCTCTCTCTGCTGTGTGTGGCTCCGTGTTTAAAAATTAGTCATGTGTTTTGTGGGGTGGACAGGACTCGGCGGTGAGCTGTGAGTTGCATTGAGACATTAAACAGTGAGGGGGCTTTATGGTCTGACCAAGTTAAGTGAGCAAGTGAGCGTACCTCACTAGAAAAAGCAAATTTACGAATTTGTGTATGACCCATAATAACTTTTCATTTGCTTGTTACATTTTTATTCCAACACAAGTTGTTTGGGTCTTCTGGGAATAATGGCTTGATCCGAATATTAGGAAAAAAATTAGCAGATTCTAAGAAATTCAAGGGGGAAATTAGTATTTTGTGTGCATTAACCTATACTTGGAAAGGCTGTTGTGTGTCGTAAGGGTTATTTTGTCCCATGTGCTCTGCACACAGAAAGAACGTCGGCATGGTGATGACAGCCCCGGTTCTTCTGCATGTGAAACTCTGGCTTTGGCTTTTTAACTCTTGTTTTATTGATAAGCACCTTGCTCATGGATTTTGGATGTCCATAGGCTCCATGTTCTTTAGCTTTTATTTTTTACTCAATGTTCGATTTGGTCTAAATCACTTTTTTTCAAAAATACCCTAGCAGTTTAAAGTCCTTGGAACTGACACGCCTGATTAGAAAAAAAATCTCATTACTGGAAGAAGGTGCTAATCAGTAATGGTTTTGGGCAGCTGTCACCGTCATGGACCTGCACAGTCCGCAGTTGATTAAGTTAATGAGAGCCGTGCAGACTGGGGGGTCCCTGCTCTGGCAGACGTGAATAAGATCGCAAGAATCTGACTCTGGGCCCCGTCAGAGCCAAAACCTTGGGAGGAAGGCCAGGCAAGCATTTTTGTTTGTTTGAGGGCAGGAGAAAAGGAGAATGACTAAAGCGTTTTCTTTTTAAATTATAATTATTAAGGGAAACAGAAAGTGCATTTGGGGCTATCTGTCTTCTTAGACTCTTTGGAGTGATCAGCTGTACCCGTGGGGACCGTTCTGAATTTTTTTTCCTTCTCTTACAGGTGACATCACCCAAAAAGGATATGAAAAGAAGAGGTCGAAATTAATTGGCGCCTACCTGCCGCAGCCTCCGAGTACGTAAACTTTGATGATACATTATCTAGTGTAAAGAGTTAACGGCAACGTGCAAGAGAGAACTGAGCGCAAACCCTTCTTAGTCTCGGTTCGCGTGAAGACCGCGCTCCTGACGTGGCCTGGCCCTGTCCCAGCCCTGCGTATGGCTGCATGTGTATTCTGTGAATATAGAACACACATATGGTATTCTATAAGTGTGCCTGATATACTTAATAAGTATTTCATCTGTGGAGGGCATTAATACGGTTGATTACTTCAAAATGCTATAATTATAAAAAAAGGTGAGAGAAGTTACGATTTAAACATGACTTTTGGTTTCGGGAGTTAAAAATGATTGCTATTGCTTATAGTTTAAATTAATCCAAGGCATTTGTGAAAGTCGTTGGGGGATCAGGCCAAATCTAGAAATCTAGAATATGGTATAATATCCTGCCTGGGATTAGTAAATGTTAGTTTTGCTTAGAAATATGATTATAACATACATGGATTCTTCCCCAAAGTACAAAGTCTGTGCCCTCCATGTCTAGGTTTGTAGAATCTCTTTGCACTTGAGTCAGGTTCCGTCCATTTCGAGAAACAGAAAACAATGCCAGGCTGGAGTTCTCACACCACAGCTGTAATGGGGCTCCGTTAGATTTGAGGGTGACCTTGAGATGGCTAGGCTTTGGGAATGGCTTAAAGTAAATGCAAGTGATGCTGTACTCAAGGAGAAATGATAGCAATATAAATTTTGAAGGTGCTGCCTGAATGCTACAGTTTCCACTGTTAAAACAGTTTTTAAAGCTGTTTGGATTCGCCTGCTGGAGAAGGGTGAAGCTCACAGGTGCACGCAGCGCAGTGACCTCCAGGCTGTGGCGCCCCCTGCTGTGCTCTGCTGGCATGTGCAGGAGGGGCTCCTGGGGCCCGCATTCCAGGACACTTTATGTGTGTGTGGAGCTTCTGCTGTGTGTGTGGCTTTGTTTTGATTTTGTCTGTTTTCTTCCTTCCCTGATTCTTAAGAGAGTTAACATAAAGATGGACCTGTTGAATAGCCTGCCTTAGCTGATGGGTTGGATTTCCTGTTGTCTGACTTTTACAAGAAAGAAGCCCTATTGTATCTGAGTAAAAATGAACAGGGTTTCGGCTGACTGATGCCTGCATGTGAAAGGCGTTAGGAGCATGTGTGGGCCGATGAGGAGCCAGCGGTCTCCCCCTCCCCTTTCTCTGGTCCTCTAACAGTACTGCATGGTGACGGTGAGTCCGCCGTCCTGATGGTGCACCCCTTTCAGCAAGCAGCCCCTCCACACCTTGGGGGAAGGCTGGCTGGTGGGCTGCAGGCGCTCGACATTGCTGGGTTCTTCTCTCTGTGCCTTACCAAACAAGAGTGAAACAGAAGCAGTTCCCAGGAGGTGGTTCTCCATCCCGGGGGCCAGGAGTGTGGCTGACTGTGTGGGCTGGGCACTCAGGGTGGCACCGTGTTGCGGGGTCCCTTCGGTGTTCTTCGTGCTGTTCTGCATGGGGTCGGCAGCTCTGCTCAGCGCTGTAACAAATTAAAAAAACAAAACAAAAAACTAAAGTTTGAATTAATTAGTTTTTTTCCGGCTTGTTACAGCAGCGAACGGAGCTGCCGTGGCCCGGTGTAGACTGCAGCACGGTGAAGGCGCCCCGAGGAGAACGCCGCACTCCGGCCCCGTCGCGGTGTGCGACATCAGAGAAGCCTCCGGCAGGGAGCGGGTGGCCAGCACCGCGGGAAACCGGCCTCTGTTTTACTTTCGTTTCGGTGAGCGCACTTTTCTGAGAGAGAGAGACCCCCTGTCACCCAGCGCCATTGCAAACAGAAGAGCGGGCTTAGCGTCGGGGGGCCTAGGGGCCCTGCCTGAGCTCCCCGTCTCCAGATGAGGTCACGCAAGTTTTCGGGGCCACAGCAGAGTTGTTACAGACCCCGGGACCATGACTGTTCCCTGACTCAGGGCCAGCGCCGAGGGTTTTCTGTTAGAATAGAATATGCTGTCTTAACCACCCTGTCTTTACGGTTGGGGCACCACTTACAAAACACTTGAAAAAGAAGAATGCATGACAAATCATAAAATTCTTCTTAAAATTATTGGTCTTCTGCTGACCTTTGTCTCATAGCCAAACACCTCAGTAAAGGAAGAATGAGCAGGTCCTGGCCTCTGAGACCTGCTGAGGGAGGGGAGCTGCAGCCGTCCACCCTGCTCCCCAGAGGGCGGGGTCACGGGCTTTGACAGAATGAAGCCCACAGCCCACCGAACGCATTCCTAGAGGTGAGGCTCCTCAGAGGTCAGAATTACATTAGTAGATACTATTTTGAATACAAGAAGCCCAAAAAGGTGAGTTCAGTGCAACCTTTAGTAGAACCAGAAAAGGTACATTTGTAGGTTTGGGGTTTGTCTTCAGGATTTTACCTCTGAATAAAAGACGTTGTTTGAAAATCATGTACAAATAATAAAGAGAAAATTGAATGTTACAATTAGCCCCGAGGCCTGGTTACCCCACTGCAGCTTCTGTTGGTCCCTCAGAGCTGCTTGCTGAGAGAGAGAGTGACGGTCCTCGCGGGAAGAAGGGACCATCAGTGGGCGGGTGGTGGAGTCGGCGTTAGCTGTGAGGTCCTTTTCACAGTTACGGGAGCCTCACGCACCTGATTGAAAAGTGGGGAGAGCCTGCTCGGGGTCGCTGCTCCGTGGACCTCGGGGCCCACCGTTCCCATTGGGAGGGGGACGACGTGGTTCGGGGTGTCAGGAGGGGGGACTGGGAGCCCAGCAAGTTTACAGCTTTTACTGCAATGTTTATTTCTGAGAAGCTGTCCCGGGTGAGGAAATACTCACACGTACGAAACTTCGTCTCTGGGAAGCAGTGAGGAGAGCAGGTAGATCTACATCAGAGTGTTTTCTAGCTCCGTTTCAGAAATAATTATTTTGTTTTAGGGTCTTTGTGTAAACGTCTTGATTTCTTTTTTCAGTCACCCTTATCCTGCCATATACCTTCCTTAGAAGGGGTTTACGTTTTAAATTTTTTTTTTAACATAATTTTTATTTATTAGAGAAAATTCTAAGACTTCTTCAGAAAGTATTCTAAAGATAGTTCCATGTGCTTGTCTGGGACGCACAATTCTGCATTAGAACAGTTTGCACAGGCATTCAGCAAAAACCGCTGCCTCGGGTTGGAGCCACCAAGCCCGTCCCGGGGCAGGTGCTCAGGGAGCGGGCTGTTTCCATTTCTGCGCAGAAGCGAGTGGCTCACAGAACGTCTGTGTGACTCGGCTTCCCCTGAAAGATGCACATGATTGGGGAGCACGACGTTGAGTGCTTACTTACATCTGTGTGGGAACAGTTGTGCTGGAATCTGGAAAGAAAAATGAAAAGGGACATATTTAATGAAGGAAAGGGTCAGGAAGAATATATTGAAAACCATTTTCAAAGAGATAATGTTATTTAGAACCATTTGGTATGGGTCCTCTTATAGTTTTTGGTTATGTAGTGTCTCTTTCAAAATCATCTTTTATTCTCTAAACCTGATACAACTTGTGAAAAGAGAAATTATAGTTGTCTTCACTGACTTCAGGACAGAGAACCCTGGTGTCATAAAGTAGTAAAATTCTAGGGTCACCAGAAACAGTGAAACGTTCCTTGCCCAAACATAGTCCCCCTTTCTCCTAACACACATATTAGTTAGATCCGGCTTTCTCCACGATTGTCCATCAAATGCTTCTCAGTGGTGAGTGGTTTATGGAGATTTAGTCTTCTCCAGGCCCAGCCTGAGTTTTCTTCCACAGCCAGACAACTCTGTGCTCAGTCACAAGGATTTGCCAGGATGAGTCGTTGTGACAGTCTTGGTGATCTGTGAAGGTCACCAGAGGGCGAGTCTGTCTCTGTCCTTCCTGTGTCCTGGGAATCGGCTGTGGGATCCATGGAAAAATCCTCAGAGAAGGGAAGGCCTGGCCAGGTGATTTCGTCTGCCTCTGTTTCTGCTGGAGATGGCAGATGGCCCTGCATGGGGTGGAGATCGGCTGTGTCCGAGGGCCTTGCCCGCGGCGGCCTGGTCTCTTCTCAGCTCCTCGAACCTTCCGCTCCTCTGATGTCCACGTGGGCCATCTGCCCTCACCTGCACCTGCATATCCAACCCTCAGTTCAAGTGTTGCTTCTACTCGGATTCCTTTGTGGCCCCTCCAGTTAGGACAGACCCTCCAATCCGATTTCACGACATCCCACTTCGGACATTCCTACAGTACTGTAATGGATGGTTGTGCTTGACTATTTGGTGATTCCACCCCACCCTAACCTGCAGTAGTGGTCATTTAGCAGGGCTCTGTTGAAGGAGGAACTGTGTGGATGAACTTGGAAGTATGTCTGCATCTGACAGACTGGCCACTGCAGCCCCGGCTCCCTGCACAACTGCAGGTTGTGGGAGTGGTGCCTGAGGTATCCCCCACCAGGTGCCCCCAGGTGAGCAGTGAGGCCACCTGAGGGACCCAAGGAGCATGAAGCCCAGTGTTAGCCTGGTGATGCCCAAACACGTCAGCAAACGGACCTGGACTGCCTCTTCCCGAGATGACAGTTTTATCATGATTTCTCCTTCAGATGCATTTAAATGGCAAATTGTATGTCAGGTGCTGATCACTGTTTCCATATCTGAAAGGTTAAAGGATAACTTGATGTTGAACCTCCGCACAGTCAATCAGCTGAATTTCATTTTACTGCTAATTTCGGAGTTCAGCTGGAGGAATCCGGTGTTCAGTGCTGTTCCTGAGGATCCCAGCCTTCGTAATCCTGTTCCTGCAAGGGCCCCGAGGAAGCCGCCTCCGACCCAAGCAAGTGTCTTCAGCTGGGCCGTGAGGAAGAAGTTACGTACCTGTTCTCGGCACACTCAGCGTTTGTGGACTTTGCTCTTTGGTCTCCCACGACATGAAGCACTGTCTCAGCCCGTGTTTAAGGGCATAAACCTGAAACACATGCCGTCGTGCTCTGGGTTCTTCAGGAGTGAAGCTGGCCTTCCCGAGCATGGTCAGTCTGCCTGACTCTTCTCGTTAAATCAGCAGCACTGAGCTGCTCTGGTGCTGGGCGCTCAGTTCGGTGCATGCTTTCATTCTGCCTCAAGAGCCACAATCTCCCTGGGCACGGGCGCCATGTCTGCTCATCCTGACCTGGGCGCCGGGCCTGTGTTCTGTCCCCGGAGCGGGATGGTTTGGTTCAGGAGTCACACTGTGCCATTTGTTCATGGTGGTTGGTGTGGGACACCGGTTCAGTCCCAGAACAGGAGAAATGCAGGTAATTTATATTGGTGGTGCCTGTCTGCGGCTTAACATTGACTCTTCCCAGATCGAATTCCTACTGGAAACCAGCTTTCATCCGCTAACGGTAAATTACCTGTATCCCAGGTGCGCAGTGGTCGTGATCTTGACGCACAATTTGTTGCACTGAGTGGGCTAAGAAATATGCTTGTTTTATCACAGGCAGCTGTGGTTTGATCATGTGAATGTCCTGCTATTTTTAGTGACATTGAACCAGTCAGGGTCCTGCCCCAGATGTCAGAAGTTAAAGAGAGCACATCTAGGCTTCTTCGTGTGAGGCCTTGGGAGTTAAGGTGGAGCGTCCACTGGATGGTGAGAAGGGCGCCTGCGTCGGAACCGGCTCGTATCTATAAGATGTAAGAAAAATGCAGAAACTTGATGCCTCGATCCTGACCATAGGCACTCACTGCCTCCACACTCACCCTCCCGGTCAGGGGAGACCGAGTGCTCGGACACGGAACCAGGCGCAGACGTACCCACGACGGGTGGATGGCGCTTGTCAAACTTGCTCCAGCTCCCGGTCTTCTCCACGTTTCTGAGTCATGAGCTGATAATCAGATTAAAGTGTTTTCATAGGAAAGTGGTTGGCCAGTTCGTACTGGTTAATGGCAGAGGTTTGTGTTAGTGAAGAATGAGATAGAAACAACGGTGGCGGTCATGAAGAATTAGGCTGGTGTGCTTGGGGACAGGTTACTTGTAGTGAAAGTTCTGTCTCTTTCGTGGTGTCCTCTGAGCCAACAAAGCAAATGTAGTGATTGCTCATCTGCACGCCCAGCAGCTGAAGTGTTTACTTCTGGCAGAGTCCCCGATTTCACCTGTTCTAGGACGTGCTGCTGTGGACGTTCAGTCAGGTACTGGAAGAGAGTGGGCGGCTCAGAAATTGTTTTTGTGCAGAGTTGAAATAGGGAAGAGTCTTTGGCAGCTTGACCAAGTCCTGAAGCCCAGGACGCCTGGGAGGCTCCCCAGACACCGTGCCCAGGGGAGAGCGACCAGGAGATGCTAGGGTTTCCTCGAGGGCCCTGTGAGCAGATCACTCCCACGTGCTTGTCCACCTCTGTGCCAGGACATCCTGACACCCAGCGTTTAGAGGCCGAATGGTGCCTCCAGTTCCATGATTAGTGAGAACAGACCGGAACATGGACCTGGTCCTCTAGGGTCAACTCCCACATGCATTCTCACTTAACCATGACTTCTTTTAAAAATGTGCTGAGAAACCTAGATTTTCAGTGTATTCTCTTACTATAGCAGTCTGGAAGTCCAAACTCTTCCCAGAACATTCCACATCCTGAGTAACCACAAGTCTGCACGGCAGGTCTCCTGGCCTGAGCTCCGCACTGTGTCACCGCAACAGTGACTGTCCCCTTACCCTCAGGACAGTGTGATTTCCGGTGTCTAGTTTATCATGATTCACAAAGGGACTGTATTTGTTCATTCATCTGAAACGGATGGATTGTTTAGGGACAAAACCACGG